AGTGTCAAGATCGCGGGGAATAGAGAGTGTAGCCACTACCATGCTGGTGCACGACGTGAACGCCACATGCCGATTCGATGACAGACGTGTCGTGCGTCTCGGCGAGCCGGCCGAGAAGGACGGTTGTATCCAAAAGGTGGGCAACTCCAGAAACGAGAGCCCGCACGCTGCAGAGGTCGACGACGTTGGACCTGAGGTCGAGACGCTCCAGAGTCGACGATCTCGGTGAGGCTTGAAGGACCGCCGCCACCATAGTCACGCCTTCTCTGCCCAGCTTGCAGTCGCTCAAGCAAACGTCGGTGACGCCAGACACGTTGATCCAGTGGTTCAGCGCCGACTGCAGGATCGGCAAGTTGCCTTCATGGAATCGCATGCCATCGCACGAGACCGATCGCAGCTGCTGCAGCCCACAGGTCCACTGGAAGAGCTCGTTCAGCGCGTCGTCCGAGGCAACCACAACACCGTGTAGCGTCAGCTCGCGCAGGAGTGGCGTGGCGTTGGCCAGCGCCAACGGAGTCTTCCGCAGCCGACCATAGCTCAATCGTAGCTCTTGGAGACGCGGCATTGTTGAGAGCAGGGGTAGCACCACGCCGAGGTCGTCGACCATGGTCTGCACATCGAGACGCGTGAGCGTGGCAAGGTCGAGACGCGTTATCAGTTGCATCGCCATGTTGACTGACGAATGCGAGATGGTGAAGCGCGTGAGATGTGGTAGCGACAAGTCGCTGGTCACAAGTGCGTCCACGAGCTCGGACGACTGCATGTCGAGCCCAGTAAGCGACGACGCGGTCGCAAGGACGTTGGCGACCGCAGCGGCATCGTCCGGCGCCAGCGCACAGCGGATGGTCACGCGCTTCTTCTTTCGGCCTGTCGAGAGCCACTCTTGCAAGGGCACCGCGAGTCGCCACGCGACGCCATTGTTGTCGTCGTCGGCGTTGTCGTGATAGATCGAGATGTGGCAGATGCTCGACGGCAGCGATGGAAGCACCTCAGCAAGTAATGTCGCATCAATGCTTACGTCGCCAAGCTGCGAGCAGTGCTGGAAGAGGCTGCGAAAGAGAGCAAGGTTACCGCGATCGACATTTTCCTTTATCGATACAATCGCATGCGGCCAGGCAGCAGCGAACGCGCCGACGGTGGCGTATCGACCACCGAGTGCGCGCTTCAAGGTCCAGAGGCTGCGAATTTGGAGGCATGTGATCGCTGGCAGTGCGGCGACGGCGAGGTGCATGTGTTGTGGGCCCACCTTTTCGAAGGTGGGCATGGGCCAGTGCTTCTTGAACGGCGAGGACGACGTCAAGAGTCCAAGGAGCGCCGCCAGCGGCGCATCGAGCGATGGCAAGGCGCTCAAGAACGCGACGACGTCCCGCGGGAAGAACAAACGCTTGACGATCAAGAGGATGACGTGGTCGAGGGCCAAGGCCGGCGTCAGCCCATCCCTGGCTCGCATCAGATTGCACTTTGGCGTATCCGGACACGGCCGTGCATTTGTATCCGGACGACTAAGACGACGAAGGTTGCATCGAGGATGCGTGCTATGTAGTCATTGCCGATACATGACAAGCTCTGACACAATTGTTTTAGTAATATTGGAGATGTTAGGGCTGGTGATAGAAAGGGGCATACATGCGGATTTATGCTCCTTGGTGATATTGTCGCTTGAAAGGCGCGCAGATCGGTTCTTTCACTTGATATATATTTCCTATATAATCGACGACGTCGGAGCGGGTTCACTGTAAAGCGATGCGTTCTTATGAGCGCCACAAGATGAGCTTTTCGCTGTGGAAGGCAATGTGCTTGTTGCTTCGACCCAAGAGAAATACGAACAAGTATAGGAACCTTAGAGCATCTCCACCCGACGTCCTATTCCCTATTTCGAGGTGCTGGCGAAATGGCATCCGGATAAAATAGGAAAAACAACTCCACCCGACCTCCTATTCCCTAAAAAATAGAAATTCGGCCGTTTTTTCGTCCTAAGCGGTACCGAATAGGTCAAAATCGTCGCGAAATAGAAGCCAAATCCTATTTCTAGGCGATTTGATTGGCTTAGCCTAAAAAATATTGCCGTACCATTGGCTGTCCTATTTATCCCGTGGATCTGATTGGAGCATCGAATGGGATCCATCCACGAGCGCCAAGTGCGTCGTCTATAAAAAGGTACTGGGCGTTCCTTGGCTTGTGCTCCCTGGACCCACTATAGCAATGGGTCGCCAAAAGATCTGGACGCCAGAGGAGGTCGCCACGCTCGCGCGAGCTTGGATGTGTACGCCCGCGCCAATCGCGCCAATGAGTCCGGTAGCAACGAAGAGCGACAGATCGAGAAGACGCAGGAGCTGTACAAGTCCCATCCGAAAGGTGCTAGGGATGGATTCTTCTACCTCTCGGCGTGGCAAGTCCTCAGGTAAGGCATTGCACAACGCCATGGTAGGGACAGTACCGACGTCTGAAGAGGGTCTCGCCGTAGGTTGGAACGGGGCTGAGGTAGTCGCGCATGATGTTGCTGTGGCCGGACGCGATGTCGCACTTTACCATCTTGCGACCAACAACACCGCCGCCGTGGCGTCGCTTGTTCGGTCGGTGAAATACCTCGTGCACGAATTCGTCAACGTCGTCGTCATCGAGCAAGAACTCGCACCAGTTACGGTACATTGACGCTAATATCGAAGTGAGTGCGCGCGCAAAAGAGCTTACAAAAAGGCGCGAAGCCGGCTAATTCGAATTTATCCGGTATATGCCGCTTGGATAGGAAGGACGGGTGAAGATGGCAAACCTATTCCTATTTCACGATAGGATCCACCAATCACAGCCCTCCGAGAAAATAGGAAATAGGACGTCGGATGGAGATGCTCTTAGTATCGAAAGACTGCTAACAATTTTTTCCTATTAATGGTTAATGGTACTTATGCAATACGCCCAAGCGTTAGCCAGGTATATACTTGTACCTCTGGCGTTGGCCAACA